CAGCCGTATGTAAACTATTATCTCACTAGGGAGTAATCATTCACTGATGTCTGCTTCCCTAACTAGATTATGAGCTCTGGGTGTTCAAAAGGTATGTTATATTCATCTTTGTACCCTAATGCCTAGCACAGTATTATGCATATAGCAAGTTCTCAACAAATGTTTGCTTCCTAAATGACTCACGGAGGCTGCCATAAATGAAGTTTAATGATACATGATAACTTACGGCAATATGTACATAGCCTTTCATTAAATAACAATGAGCCCTAGGGTACCCAGCTGCTCAGCCAGAGCATTACAAGATGTTGGACTTTGGAAAGGTCACCACAACAGCACAGCATGTGTGTTATTTATCCCTTAGCTCTGCAGCTAAAAACGAAAAAAACCAAACCCACTACCGTCGAGTAGATTCCAACTCATAACAACCCTGTAGGAAAGAGCAGAACTGCCTCATAGAGTTTCCAAGGGGCAGCTGGTGGATTCGAACTGCCAGTCTTTAGGTTAGCAGCCAAGCTCTTAACCACTGTGCCACCAGGGCTCCCTGCAGCTAACTTGTTTCAATTAATTCAGTTTAATTGAACACTTATTTACTGGAGCTTAAGGAACTATCTGGTCACGACCTCTACAGAGCTTACATTCTAATAGTGTAGGCAAATCAAAACAATTTTCAAATAATAATTTCAAATGGAATAAGTGCTTCATTTTTCACATAAAGTAAAACAAGTATTGAGACCAAGAATAATGGTTGGGGGGTGGGGAGGGTTACATCTGAGATGAGGGTCAGGAAAGGCTTCTCTGAGAAAGTGACATTTAAGATGAGACCTAAAAGATAAAGAGGCAGCCTAGAGAAAAATGGAGAAGAGCTTTCCAGGCAGAGGGTACAGAGTATGCAAGGCCCTGAGCCAAGAATGAACTTGGTTTGAGGAGCTGAAGGAAGATCCATGTGGCTGGAGCATAGTGAGTAAGACAGAAAGTAGAAAAATTTAAAGGGGAGAGATGTGCCAAATAAGGTCAGGCTTTTCAGGCCAAGAGAAAGAATTTAGAACTTTCAAATACAGTGGAAAGCCATCAAAAGGTTTTAAGGGGAAACTAATGGAATTCCATTTTGATTTTTAGGATCATAAGAAACCGCCCCCACCCCACCCACTCCTGCCCCTGCATTCCCACACCCAATTTCCAAGTCCAGTTCACTCTACTTCCCACCTATCTCTCAAATGCATTTACTTCTCACCATCCTCACTGCTACCACCCAAGTTCTGGCCACCAGCTCTCTCAGTATAGTCTCATTAGTCTCCCTGCTTTCTCTTTTACTCCTCTCCAATTCACCAAAGTGAGCGTCCTTTAAAAAGCAAATCAGATCACATCACTCCTTAAAAACCTCTCAGTGCCTTCCTTCTGCCCTTAGGATAATGTTTAAACCCCCTAAAATGGCTTAAGAGGCCCAGCTGACCTACCTCTCCAGCCATATGGCTAACCAATCACCACCCCCCACCAACAGTCTTTAGCCTAGTCATATTAACATAAATGGAATTCCATAATTAGACCATGCTGTCTTTCCATTGGGAAACTGTTATCAGGTCTGTCAAAAAAATCCAAAAAAGCAACAAAGAAAGTCTTAAGTGAAGGATTTAGTTCTCCAAAGCTAAGAAGCTTGTTAAGGCCAATTGTTGATTATTGTGGTCATGCAGACAAGTGTTTCCTTTTCTGGAAAGAAGAGTAAAAATGTAAATGAATAGGGCTGCTAGATGTGAAAGGTTGGAAATATAAGCTTCTTGAGAAAAGTACCAAAGGTCCTGTATCCTGGGGCGTATTATCACCTGGCACATAGTTGGTGCTTGATAAGTATTTGAATGAATGATCAAAGTGAACAGAAAGTGAGAAATTCTGGGAACAGAACAACCCAGAGATATTAAGGGGAGTAGGCGTGTGTCCCAATTCTGACCAAAAAGAGTCAAGGAAAAGGTTATTGGGGGCTTCTGGACAGATTCTTCTTCATTCTCATAAGATAGCCACTGAAAGCCTGTTTCCTCTCTCCTACAGGGCATGAGTGAAGATGTGTGTGGCCCTGGTTGCTACTGGCTGTTATTCTGCAACCATGAAGAAAGATGATACTGTGGACAACACAGACAGAGACTCCTATCCTTCCAGCTAATGTTGAATTTCTGGGTTAACCAATTCTGAGGCCCCCTCTACCCTTGGACTTCTAATTATGTAAACCAATAAACTTTCTTATTGTTTACGTCAGTTTAACTATATTACTTGCAGACCAAACCCTTATAACTGATATAGATCTGAAAAATAATAAAGAAAAAAATCACTTTGAGAATATGAACACATGTCATCATTTAATTTTATAGCCTCATCAAAAACTAATCTCAAAAAAAAATAGCAAAATGAATCACTGTTAGAATATAGATTTTCTATGCATTGGTAAGACATTAAGAGTATATCAAATAATCCAGATGTACTTTCTGTGAAAAAAATGTATTCATCTTTCACTGGATGAAATTAATAGAAGATTAGGAACTACAGAAGAAAATACTAATGAACTGGAAGGCAAAATAGCATTAAATATCCAAAATGAAAAACACAGAGAAAAAAGCCTGGGGAAAAAAAATGAATAGAATATCAGTGACCTGTGGGAAAATTCCATGCAGTTAAAGATACATGTAATCAGAGTCCCCAAAGGAGAGGAAGGACAGAAAAAATATCTGAAGAAGTAACAGTGAAAAAATTTCCAAATTTGATGAAAACTTTAAGCCCACAGATTCAAGGAGCTCAACAAATCACAGGCACAAGAAACATGAAGAAAACTACATTTTATCACAATCAAATTGCTTAAAACCAGTGATAAAGAGAAAATCTTAACAGCAGCCAGAGCAAAAAAACATATTACATACAAAGGAACAAAAATAAAACTGAGAGAAAACTTCTCCCAAAGAATGCAAGCCAGTAATGTCATTGGATTGTACCTGCAGCAACTTGAAATAGTGGGTTTTTTGCTGTGTATATTCTCAACAACAAAAAAAATAAATTATTTTTTTAAAAAAAGAATGCAAGCAAGAAGACAGTGGAACAACATCTTTAAAGTAATGAAAGAAAAATACAATCAGTCTACATGTTCTATACTCAATGAAAATTTCTTTCAAAAAGGAAAGCAAACTACTTTTTCAGAAGTTGAAAGAATTTTCCAAAGAAGATATACAAATGGCCAATAAGCACATGAGAAGATGCTCAACATCACTAGCCATCAGGGAAATGCAAATCAAAACTACAATGAGATACCACTTCATGACAACACAGATGCCTATAACATAATAGAAAATAATAAGTACTGGGGAGAATGTAGAGAAATAAAAATCCTCGTGCACTACAGGTGAGGATGTAAAATAGTTCAGTCATTGTGGAAAATGGTTTGGCAATTCCTCAAACAGTTAAATACAGAATTACCATATGACACAGCAATTGCACTCCTAGGTATATACCTAAAAGAATTGAAAGCAGGGACTCAAACAGATACTTGTACACCAGTGTTCACTGCAGCATCACTCACAATAGCCAAAAGGTGGAAACCACTCAAGTGTCCATCAACACATTAGTGGATAAACAAAATGTGGTATACACATACAATGTACTAGTAGTCAACCATAAAGAGAAATGAAGTTCTCATACATGCTACAACATGGATGAATCTTGAAAACGTCCTGAGTGAAATAAGTCAGGCAAAAAAGGACAGAGATTATATAATCCCATTTATATGAAATATCTAGAATAGGCAAATGCATAAACAAAAAACAAAAACAAACCCATTGACAGCGAGTAGATTCTGACTCATAGCAACCCTACAGGACAGAGCAGAACTGCCCCATGCGGTTTCCAAGAAGCAGCTTGTGGATTTGAACTGCTGAACTTTTGCATAGATACAAAATTTTATTAGTGGTTACCAGGGGGGATGGGAGGTAGAAATGGGGAGGTATTGCTAGAGGGGTACTAAATTTCTGTAAGGGTGATGAAAAAATTTGAAAACAGATAGTGATGATGGTTGCACAACATGGTGAATGTAATTAATATCACTAAATTGTGCACATAAAAATGGTTGAAATGGTAAATGTTTTGTTATATGTATTTCACCAAAGTAAAACTAAAAAAGAAAAACTAAAAAAAAGAGAAAGATAAAAAAGACAAAGAACAGACGTGACAAATAGAAAACAAATAACAAGACAGTAGATTTAAACCTAAACATAATCATAAACTTAAATAATAATCACATTAAATGTAAATGATCTAAACACCCCAATTAAAAGGCAGAGATTGTCAGACTGGATACAAACAAGAGCCAACTACATGCTGTCAATAAGAAGCTCACTTTAAGAATAAAGATACAAACAGGTTAAAGAAAAAGGATGGGAAAAAATATATCACGCTAACACTAATTGGAAAAAAAAAAAGCTGGAGTAGCTATATGCTATATTAATATAAGACAAAGTAGATTTCAGAGCAAAGAATATAATTAGGGACAAAGAGGGTCATTTAATAATGATAAAAGGGTCAATTCATCAAGAGTACATAATAATCCTAAACATTTACACACCCAAAATGTCTCAGCCCACCAAACCAAGAACACAGAAAGATGCCTTTCACAGTTAAAATGAAGTATCAGCATTCTAAACCAAAACTGAATACTGCCAAAATGGGGCTTAAGATCTTCTTTATGTAATAAGCGGCATGTGATTTTACTAATGGAAAAAAAAAAAAAAAAAAAAAAACCTGCTGCTGTCAAGTCGATCCCAATTCATAGCAACCCTACAGGACAGAGTAGAACTGCCCCAGAGGGTTTCCAAGGAGCAGCTGGTAAATTCGAACTGCCAACCTTTTGGTTAGCAGTCATAACTCTTAACCACTTCGCCACCAGAGCTTCGTAGTAAAGATTTTAAAAGTTTATCAAAATATTTATTGACTTTACTACCAAAGCTGATCAAAGTGATCTAAAGCTGACTCACCTTTCATATTGCCTGTCTCGTGGCAATGAAATACCCCAACGTCGAAAGTCCATGATTAGCATAAGTAAAAGGAGACAGGATATAAAGAAGAGTCCCAGGAATGCCACTCGCTGACGAGGAAATGGACTCACTGTGGGCACAGTGAAGTACCAGGAGGCTGGGCAGAGGTAGGAAAAACTGATCCTGAAATAAGACAAACATCAGTAAGTTTGAAAAATGGTTTTTAAATTGGATAATAGTCCTTCCTAATAAAGGCAAAAATGCACACCAACAGAAACCTAAATATTCTTCTAGTCTCAAATTTTAGAAAAAGATCTGTATGTGTTCATGGTGCTTCCGCTATATAAATTAGAGAAGCCTTATCTACCTTTTCCAAAGTTTGCAATTTTGGGTGCAATTTAAAGGATTAATCTCAAGTTAATAAAAGAGTCTCAGTTTCCCTGGGCAACATCATAACACTCAAGAATCAGAGCAATTACAGCTTTGAAGAAACCCGACAGTCAGAAAATTTATTCAGCTGATTTTTTTAAAACAAATTAATAGGTAATATATACACACGGTAAAAAATAAATCAAACATTCAAAAGGGTATACAGTGAAAAGTGAATCTTCTGTCTTCATATCCCTCTCTCAGAGACAACCATTGTTACTCAGTTTCTATGTACTTTTTTAAGGATACTTTATGTATACACAAGCATAAACATCATATATAAGGAAATATATCTACACACGCAAGTGCGTGCGTGCGTGTCCATTCTTTTGGTTTAACACAAACGGTAGTCCACCCTACCTACTGTTCTGCATCTTGGTCCCTCTCCCCCCTCCCCCTACACACACATACACACTTACTCTATTTGACAACTGTCCCATATTGGTATACGTTGATACACATTAATTTTTTAAAAGCTTCAGAGTATCATAATGTATGGATTCAACTGTGAAGTTCACTTTCTGTATTGATTCAAAAGAATCTCAGTCTGTCTGCTTTCAAAATTCACTGCAAACAACTCTGTTTAACATCCTCAACGGGTACCAGCTGCCATGATTAGACTCTGACTCATGGCAACCCCATGTGCATCACAGTAGAACTGTGCTCCATAGGGTTTTCAATGGCTGATTTTCGAAAGCGGATCTTCCCAGGCACCTCTGGGTGGACTCTAATCTCCAACTTTTCAGTTAGCAGCACCCAAATCTCCAACCTTTCAGTCAGCTGCCAAGATTTTTGCACCAGCACCTAGCCTAACTCAGATGGAAATTTCAAAGAACATTACAATCTAGTACTTCCTGGGACTAAGGGAGCACCTACTCTCTCCAACACCTCAGGGTTATGGGCTGGAAACTAATATTGTACCTGCCTTCAAAAGAATACAGATTTGATCTTGGCATCCATCTGACCAGAATGCAAGGTCCAGGTGCAGCCCCAGGACAAACCTCACTTTAACAACCTCCCAGGATCCTCCAACCTGCCTGCCATCCCTCCCACTGAGCCCAACAGGGAGAAAAGTGTGCAGCCTTACCTAGCCATGGGTTCCCTTCAGTGGTCTCAACGCCTGTCACCTCCTTTTCCTTTTGCCCTGAGAATGTGGCCTCCTTGTCCCAGGCATCTCTTAAATCTGCAGCCTGGAAAGAGCTGGTTGGGTCTCAGTCTCACCTCCAGCAGTGCCCAAGAGACCAGACCTGCACAAGAAGGCCACGGCCTCTACCTTCTCTTCGGGCTCTCACTCCGGATCCGTCTGTTCTTGTTCCTCGGTCCCAGAGGACCTTAGTCCGGCTCCCTGGGGGCGGAGCGTCCTTGTGAGCCAGCTCTATTCTCGAGGAGCCGGTCGTCCCCAGGTGGTAGAGGCAGGGGTCCCCGTTTCTCCTCCCCGCCTCTCCCTGCCCTGCAGCCCTCCTCCGTCCACACTCACAGGATCGAGCGGCCCGTCGGCTCCCTCGGCACCGCTCGGCAGGTTCAGAAGCGGCTCCCTGTGGCCCCTTGCCCAGCCGGAAGGAGAGCCCGGGCGGGCTGCACCGCCACGTCCCCAAGGAAACCGCAGGGAGCCAATGACTGACAGGAGCCCGCGGAGACGGACCGCCCTCCACCCAGCGGGAGCCGCTGGCGAACCAACTCAGTCAGCCGCACGTCCGTCCGCCACTGTGGCCAATCCTCAAGAGCGCTGGGCCTCTAATGCCCGCCCCGGGATTTGAGCCACGTCCAATCCAGGAGGGCATCGTCCTGTGGCACCGCCTAGAGGGGCCGGCGGTGGGCGCCCAGGTGAGTGTACCCGCTGTTCTGAGCGGCGTCTGGGTGCTCTGCGTTCCTTGCCCCTCCCGAAGCGCGAGATCTCTGCTGGCTGCTTTCTCAGCGGCGGCTTCCAGGGCTGAGCAGCTGCAGTGGGTGGGTCTCGGAGGGTTAGCGACAGAAATGCATCCCCTGCCCACGACCTGTTAGAGGTTTTGTGCCCACCCACGCTCCCTGCCTCAAACCTTCCCTATTCCCTCCCAAACTGACGCCCCGGCCTCATTGCCTTGTCCTAGGAGAAAAAACATAAATTGGGAGCAATGACATCTACAACAAAACGCTTACATACATTCATTCATTCAACATTCACTGAATGTCTACGATATGTCAGACATTATGGGCTGCTGTGTCCCTGCCCGCCGGGACCTTACAGTAATACATACAAAGATAACGTTTCCTTAATGTTTTTATTCTTCTGTCCTTACACCAGCAGTTTCTCTCGTTTCCAAGAGGGAGCCACTTGGGATAGTCCAAGCTTTTTCCTACGTGGCAATCCACAACTGGCTCCTGCCGCATCTTCTGTCGCGCCCTGCCTCCCTCAGGCAACACACCATGTGGTTTCTGTCCTCTTAGGTTTGCCTCGTTCTGCCCTCCTGCCTTGAATAACCTTTCTCCGCCTATATATATATATACACACACCCATATATATGTATATATATGGGTGTGTGTATATGTATATAGATGTGTATATATATGTATATTGTTGTTGTTAGGTGCCGTTGAGTCGGTTCCGACTCATAGTGACCCTATAGGACAGAGTAGAACTGCCCCATAGGGTTTCCAAAGAGCGGCTGGTGGATTTGAACTGCAGACCTTTAGGTTAGCAGCCGAACTCTTAACCACTACACCACCAGAGCTCTATTATATGTATATGATATATATGTATATAATAGAGCTCTGGTGGCGCAATGGTTAAGAACTTGGCTGTTAACCAAAACGTCGGCAGCTCAATCCACCAGCCGCTCCTTGGAAACCCTATGGGGCAGTTCTACTCTGTCCTATAAGGTCACTATGCGTGGAAATGAACTCAATGGCAATGTGTGTATATACTTTTTATACATCTATATCTCTATATATGGAGCCCTAGTGGCGCAGTGGTTTAAGCGCTCAAAATGTGGCAGTTCGAATCCACCAGCGGTTCCCAGAGAAAGATGTGGCAGCCTGATTCCATGAAGATATGCAGCCTTGGAAATCCTCTGGGGTAGTTCTACTCTGTCCTATAGGGTCACTATGAGTAGAAATGAACTCGATGACAAGTTTTTGTTTTGTTTTGTTTTGTTTTTTGATTTATCTATCTACATAGTTTCACTTGTTGTTAGTTGCCGTGGAGTTGCTTTCCACTCATAGCGACCCCACTGCTCGGTCCTGTGGCATCCTCACAATGGTTGCTATGTTTTAGTCCCCCATCTGGTTGAGGGTCTTCCTCTTCACTTACCACACCTAATTACTGAGTTTCAATTGTATTTCTGTATCTATCTGCCCCATTAAATAGAATTCCTTGAGGGCAGGGTCATTCTGCTTGCACATATTCCCAATGCTGGGCACTGCCTGCCACATTAAACATAATAAATGTATGATAAATAATTGAATGAGTGAATGTAGAAATAAACAAAGACCACTGAAATGAGAACATTTGAGAGGCTATTTATTCAGACTTTGCTATGTAGCAAGGGAGTCAGCCACTATCACTTAAATTTGGCAAAGACCAAAAGGCTGTCAGGGGAGTAGGAAAGCTTAATGGTGGGGAAAAAGAGGAAGGTTTCATGAATAGTCTCATTTACCAACATGGGGAAGCTTGAGGCAGGACATCAGATGTGATTGGTTTTGGGGAATATGTTTGACTTTCTTTGGTTGGTCCTCAGCTGGAAGGCATGGGAGAGAAGGGCAAAAATAGGGAAGCTGGCAGTCCTTGACCAAGTCTTGACAATTCTGGGCTGGTTGTTGGTTCAGAGTTCTCTTGTCATATATGGTCTGGCCATTGTCCATTAGTGTATTCAGTCTCTCATAACTGTCGTTTTTCCCTGCCTCCATTACCCTGCCAATCTGGTTGAGCTTCCTAACTTGTCTTTTTCAATTTTTAGTTCTCCATTTTCTTCTCTGTCCCTCAATCCTCACTCTGCTTCAAGTGTTATATTTTATCCAGACCCCCAGAAAACACATTGAACAGAATCACTGCATAAAGTTAGGATTAATTTCAAAGTTATACAAATATCAGATCTTTTTATCATTCAAGAGCCCAGTTGACTGTTTGTTAGGTAGATGTGGAAAAATCTCTACTAATGCTTTGAAATCATTTGTTTTTCTATTTCTTCTCAATTTAGTTTTAGTAATCTGTGTATTTAAAGGATTGATCCCTTAATGGCACTGAACTGCTCATGTGAAGATTGCTGAAATGTCAAATGCTTTGTTACATATATATTTACCACACACACACAAAAAGAATTGATCCTTTCGATCAAAGTTTTCAAATCTATTGGCATAAAATTGTTTTTATTATCCCCCTATTATCCTTTTAATTTTAGTAGGGTCAGTGGTGATAGCAGCTCTTCCATTTCTGATATCGATAATTTTTATCTTTTCTTTCCTCCCTGATCATTGTAGCTAGAAGTTTATCAATATCATTTTCAAAGAATCAGCATTTAGTTTCATCAAATTCTCTACTGTTTTTCTATTTTCTATTTCATTGACTTCTGCCCTTATCTTTTACTTTTTAGCTTTAGATTTACCTTTTTTTTTAAAGCAGTAACTCCCCTACTCCTGCCCCTGGTAACCACTAATCTACTTTTGTCTCGATGCATTTGCCTATTCTAGATATTTCATATAAGTGGGATCATACAATATTTGTCCTTTTGTATCTGGCTTATTTCACTTAGCGTAATGTTTTCAAACCTCATCCATGTATGTCTCAGAACTTCATTTCTCTTTATGGCTGAATATTCCATTTTATGTATATGCCACATTTTGTTTATCCATTTATCTGTTGATGGACACATGGGTTGTTTCCATCTTTTGGCTATTATGAATAATGCTACTATGAACATTGGTGTACAAGTATCTGTTTGAGTCCCTGCTTTCAGTTCTTTTGGGTATATGCCTAGGAGTGGAATTGCTGGATCATATGGTAATCCTATGTTTAACGTTTTGAGGAACCATCAAACCATTTTCCATTACAGCTGCACCAGTTTACATTCTCATTGACAGTGTATGAGGGTTCTAATTTCTCCAAATTCTTGCCCCCCTCTTTTTTTCTCGTAATCGCCATCCTGTTGGGTGTGAAGTGGTATCTCATGGTTTTGATCTGCATTTCCCTAACGTCTAATTATGTTGAGCATAAATTTTCTTTTAAGGTTTCTTGAAGTTGCCTTCCAACTGCAGTTCTAAGTCTGCTGTTATTGTTAGTTGCCATCAGGTCAATTCTGACTCATGGCGAATCCATATGTACAGAGCAGAACTACTCCATAGGGTTTTCAAAGCCGTGACATTCTGGAAGCAGATCACCAGGCCTGTCATCCGAGGTGCCTCTGGGTGGGTACAAACTGCCAACCTTTCAGTTAGTAGCTGAATGCTTAACCGTTTGCACCACCCAGGGACTGCAGTTCTGAGTCTAGTCGATGTATATTTCAAACTCTAGTGTTCCACTAAATCGGCATTTTTGAGTAGAAATAGGATTCCTACCTACGTTTTAAATAATACTTAATTCATATGGTTTATAAACTATATTAATTTACAAATCAAAGGTGTATCGAAACATCCTCTAATTTACATTTCATAACTAACTATCATAAAACAGAAAAGAAACCTGCATTTTAATCCCAACAACTTCTTTCTTTGTAAAAGTTTCTTTATCCTTGTGGTTTGAACAATAGTTCCTTTAATAAGTCCGTATGACCTGTAGCATTTGTGAACCATGGTTCACACCGCTTATCTAATTAACAGCTCACAGGGCTGGGTTCTAAGGTTTCCAGTCAGCAAGGCCAAAAATAAAAGGGTTGAGACTATCTTCTATCTCATTTGCTGCAACTCAACATGTTGAAATAAATTGTAGAAACCCATATTCCAAAACAGATTTTTAACTGTTCTTTAAAGGCATGTGTACAATTACATTTGCAGTTTTCTCAAGACATTCCTGGTTCTACCTAGCCCTGAGCAAAATCAACCAAACCAGTCCCGTTAAGTCTCACTTTTCTGCGTTGCTTCATTTCTCTTCATCAATTCTCCTTCATTCCTCACTCCATCCTGTGCTAACCTCTAAAGGAGCCTAAGTAATGTGGTCTTCAAGTTTATTCATCTCTCTTCCTGTGCCTTTTAGACACCTCGTTGTCTAAAACCAAGCTCATTATCTCTCCAGTCTCACCTTACCCACCCAAACCTCCTCCATCCATATTCCCAACCTTGATGAAACATCCCATGACTCACCCTAGCAGAAACCTGAGAGTCATTCTAGAATTTCTTCACTCTACTTTCCCTATTCCATCCAATTGGTCACTGGGTATTCTAAATTCAAGTGCCCAAAATTCTAAATCCGCTCTAATATCTTCTGATATCAGGAATGGAAGAACTACTATCACTACTGATCCCACCAAAATTAAAAGGATAATAAGGGGATAATAAAAACAATTTTATGCCAATAGATTTGTAAACTTTAATCGAAAGGACTAATTCTTTTGTGTGTGTGTGTGCAGTGAATATATATGTAGCAAAATATTTGACATTCCAATAATCTTCACATGAACAATTCAGTGCCATTAAGGGACCAGTTCTTTACTTATTAAAAAAAAAAAAATTTAATTGTTTTAATACCTAGTAGCAGTTTGAGATGGCTGGCCTGCCTCCAAACCTATGCCCCATCTGAATGCTCCTCCACTCTGA